AATAGAGCCTCAGAGTACTTGGTATAAGCTGGAGAGGAAATGACATGTCACAAATTTAAAAGATCATCATTTAACCTGGTTTGAAAGCCGTCTGTGAAACCAGATCATCTTACTATTCATCACTGATTGATTGAAGAAAATAAGAACAACTCCAGGCTTCTCTTCAGCTCTGTAGCCAGGCTGCATCATCCACTGTGTGCATTTTGGCGTTTCATGGTAAATTTATACAGACAGGAATTACTTTGTCTTTTTATCCTGACACTATAGAAAGACTTTTGTTGTTAGACAGTTGAGCTGAAATGGCAAATTGTGTGTGTGTGTTTGTGTGTGTTTGTGTGTGTGTGTGTGTGTGTGTGTGTGTGTGTGTGTGTGTGTGTGTGTGTGTGTTGCATTGTCACATTGTTTTTAACAACTGCGCTTTGTTGACTGTTTCAGACTTGAAGATGCCGTGTATCTCAAGGAATAGGGAGATGCATGTTACCCACTAGCTGACTGGGTGGCAGTGTTGGGTAAGTTACTTTAAATCAGTAACTTAGTTACATTACTAGTTACATCTCTCAAAAGTAACTCAGGTACTTCAAGTTACTGTTACTTTCAGAGTAACTAGTTCATAGAGAAAGTAACTTTGGTTTTACTCAGACTTCTCTTGTTAATGTGTTGTTTCCATAACTTTGCAGTCTTCTAGCTTGCTTACTTGCCAGAGTGCACTGTGCCACCTACCAATAGAAAGGAAAAGATAATGTGCACATTTCCACGAGAGAAATCCCACGCCTGGACCGTCATTGACTGCTGTCATGATTCTAGCCTACGTCACAGTGTCATGTGCGCCTTTTACATGCAACACAAAAACTGCAGTCGTGGTGCTTTCGATTGTACTCAGAACTCGGAAATTCTGCCTTCTGAATAGGAAGATGTAGGTAACACCAGACTGCAGATGAGCTGCTTACAGGGCTGGACTGGGACAGAAAATCAGCCCGGACATTTTGACTAGAGACCGGCCGCCATTATAGGAAAAATCATAAAGCCTTTGAATGAAAACAAACACTGTTGTGACAGTGATGCTCACTGTTCTGATGGTATATATGCATCAATCTATCAATCGTTTGTTGTAAGATTCAGATAATTATTTATTAAAAGCTAGACATTTTAAATGAGAATAAGAAAGAAAAGTATTTCTTTGTGCCCCCCTTTAATGCCCTACATGCCCCCCTGGCAACACTTTGCTAGACCCGCCCCTGCACAGTTACCAGCTGTCAGCTACCTAAAAAAGGATCCTGGGGTTATTTGTCTCTCAGAAACAGTTCATAACTTCAACTCATTCATGTCACCTAAAAGGTAAACCTGTTTCTCCATCACAGCTCTGATGATTCAGTAAGGACATCTCCTGGTTTCATCTTCATGTTTCCCTCTCACCACATATCCAAACCGACATCATGACCAGCAGCTTTACAGCTGTGGCTCCAGAAAACATCAGCTGATAAATTCTAACAACAGCTGATCAGCTTAAACGTGCTGCTGTTGTTTAACGTCCGCTGGTTTCCTCTTTCTGGCGCAAAGTGGGCGATAAATAAACAAGAGAGAAAAGCCGATCAGCTGATTATTGATCAGTTTCATGATTGAAGTAGAAACGGGAGGGGGAGGGGGAGAGAATGAGAGAAGAAGAGGCAGCTGTGCAGCGTAAACACAGAATAACTCCAGCTTTGTGTCTTTTTCATTGTAGCTGAATTACGGGAAAAACTCTGTTCCTTTTCACCTCAATAAGAAACGCGTAATATTTTCTCTGAATACCAGACGGGACGGTTGGCAACTCTAATAACATATGAACAAAATAAAGTTCAACATCATTAACTTCATAGCACCACCCAGCTGTATAGAAACTCCGTCATGCTAAAGCTTTGAAGCTTGTTCTTAACACCGGTTCATTGCTCAAAGCTTTTCAGCACAGGCCTCTCTGGTGACCTCTGGTGGCCAAAAATATGAAGAGCAGCTTGAATCTACAAATGATAACAAACTGCTTCATTGTGACTGCCCACTCTGCAGAGTGGAGGTCACAATCCTGCCTGATGTCGCGTCACCGTTGTGCGAATTGTTATGTTTATTTGTTTAATAAATAAATCTGATTGATAAACGTTGCTGTTGAAACGTGCACCGTGCTGTGGTCTTTCTTTGCTTGTGACTTCTTGATGTTGGTAAATACAATAGATAAAAAACACATATAATATACACATAATGTACAACACATTATGGAGTATGCTTCTGCTGCGAGGTACTTCTGCAATTAATCACTGGACAGCTGGACAGGTATGTCTATAAATGTGATATTAGGCCAACTTCCTTCTACATATTTTTGGCCTGGGGGTCGAACTGATCGTGAACCGGAAAAGGAAAACACTTTAAAACTTGTAAAGTAAAAGCATGATACCTTTAAGGTAACCCTTTTTCATTTTTATTTAAGAAAAGAATTTGTTCCACTGTGTGACGGCGGAGTTTCTGTTCTTGGAGATCATTTCTCCTGCCTCACAGGAAATCCTCTCACATGAACAGAAGACGCTGGAGCGCAGAAACTCTTCCTGGCTCCCACAGACTACCAGATAAAAAAGAATAAACACATTGAATTGCTGCACATTTTGTAGAATAACATTTTAAGCTTATTTTAAAAAGTAAAAAATATATTTTATTTTATTAAATTGTGTTTCTAAAGTTATTTAATGATATTTATATTATGAAAAGCTGATTTTTGTTTTGTTCAGACATTTTCTTCACATATAGACACATAGACAAGTTTTTCACATAAATAAAGACCCACAAAACAAAAGTGAACAACAAATCAGAATCAGAATCAGAAAGGGTTTTATTGCCAAATGTTGAGCAGGTTTACAACATTAGGAAATTGCTGCGGTGCTTCAGTGCAAACATACTGTTATAAATTACGTTTAAATAGACATGAAAATAAAAATAAGAATAAGAATTAAAAGTGCTAAGTAGATAGATATATACATGATATATACATAAGTGCAGGTGGTGATCAGTGCCAAACATGGAATGATGCAGTGACACAGCGTAGGGTCATGTGTTAGTGGTGGGAACAGTCATACGGTTATTGTTCAAGTGTCCAACAGCAGAGGGGAAGAAACTGTTCTTATGGCGAGAGGTTCTGGTGCGAATGGACCGGAGCCTCCTGCCTGAGGGGAGCAGGTCAAACAGACTGTGTCCAGGGTGAGAAGGGTCAGCTGAGATCCGAGCTGCACGCCGCAGTGTCCTGGAGGTGTACAGGTCCTGCAGAGATGGGAGTCTGCAGCCAATCACCTTCTCAGCAGAGCGCACAACACGCTGCGGTCTCTGTTTGTCCCTGATAGTGGCTCCAGCGTACCACACGGTGATGGAGGAGGTGAGGATGGACTCGATGATTGCAGTGTAGAACTGCATCATCGTCCGTGTTGGCAGGTTGAATTTCTTCAGCTGCCTCAGGAAGTACATCCTCTGCTGGGCTTTCTTGATGACGGAGGTGATGGTGGGCTCCCACTTCAGGTCCTGGGTGATGGTGGTACCCAGGAAGCGGAATGAGTCCACAGAGGTGATGGGGGTGTCAGTCAGGATGATGGGGGGGAAGTGGGGCTGTGTGCTTCCTGAAGTCCACAATAATCTCCACTGTCTTCTGGGCATTCAGCACCAGGTTGTTGTGGCTGCACCAGGACACCAGACGTTCAACCTCCCTCCTGTAGGCAGACTCGTCCCCGTCCGAGATGAGTCCAATAACGGTGGTGTCATCTGCAAACTTGATTAGCTTGACAGACTGGTGGGTGGAGGTGCAGCAGTTGGTGTACAGGGAGAAGAGCAGAGGAGAAAGAACACAGCCCTGAGGGGAGCCGGTGCTGATGGTCCGGGAGTCCGAGACATTCTTTCCCAGCCTCACGTGCTGCTTCCTGTCCGTCAGGAAGTCAGTGATCCACCGGCAGATGGGATCAGGCACATTCATCTGGGAAAGCTTACCTTGGAGATGGTCTGGAAGGATGGTGTTGAAGGCAGAGCTGAAGTCCACAAACAGGATCCTGGCGTAGGTTCATGGGGAGTCCAGATGCTGCAGGATGAAGTGTAGGGCCATGTTGATGGCGTCATCTACAGACCTGTTGGCTCTGTATGCAAACTGCAGGGGGTGGCTGAACAAAGTCAGCTCAAAATACTGAAAATGCATGACAGAAGCTCCTCTCTGCCTTGCTGGCTCCGTGTCTTCCAGTAGAATGATCAGTGACTCGCTATCTGTCACCATCAAAACACTCCACAAATCCCAGGAATGATTCACTTCCTTATAAACCACTGAATCCCTGACTGTGTTCTAAATGAAGGATGTCACTGATAACCTGACTCTGGCCAAACGAATCAAGCCTCGACAAGGTCAGAAATGCCGGGGCGTCAGCTTCACGCGGGCCATCTCTAGTTATCTGCACTTGGATCCCATTAATCTCTCCACACGGTCTGATTGCACGACCATGACAGAAGTGATGTAACTGATGCAAACATTTCTTTCCATTTCTGATCTCAAGTTAAAGGAAACATTCAGATTTCACAATATTCTCTCAATGGGAAGTTCTGGTTATTGTTAGAGCGAGTTAAGTTTGCTTTACATTTTGAATGCACGGTAGATGTGATGATGAGGATGATGTTCTGAATCTGTTAAGAACATGCTCCAGTCCATAAAAAAGCATTCCCCAAGTATGTGGAGGGTATCCAGGGCCACTGATCAATGATCACGACAATATTAATGATCAAGGAACTGACCTCACAGCCCATTGTTCATTCAGTGAGCTGGTTTCATCAGGTGACGTCTTCAGTCTCAGCTGACTGCATGTTTCCAACCTTATAAACAGCACATTTGCACAATGACTGAAAGCAGCCCACTGAAGGAACAATGGGCTGGGAGGTCAGAAATGTTTCTCCCACTGAAACTGCGTTCTTTTATTTTGAAAGTGTCATTTGACGCTCCGATGGCTCAGATTCGCTTCCGGTGTAAATAGAAAAACTACTTCTTAGTTGTGCGTCAGCGGAGAGACGGAGGAGCGCGATGTGGCCGCGGGGTTAGTTCAGAGAGATTAAAGGCGATCAGCTGGATTCATGATGAAGATGAAGATGTGTGCGCTGTTTGTGATCCTCGCTCTCGGTAAGATTTCCGCCCTTTGTCACCGCGGAGCTGGGAGCTAACGAGTCTTAAAAAGTGCTTGGGCATCTATATCGCGTAGTACGGTAAAAAGGGCGACTTTGTGGTGCATTTGAGTGCACCCCGTAAACCCACATATCTATGGAGATTTCAAAAAGGCGATGTTTTCTTCATTTGCTCTTATTTTGAAAATCAGCCTTCTACCGATGTAGCGGTTAATAAAACGTCACTGCGTCAGTTCCAGGCGGAGACACGAACCTATCCTGGCTTTGCGTCGAGAAACTCATCCTGTGTAGATCAAACCTGCAGTGCTGTGGTGAGGGAGAAGCTGAGAGTAGCTTCTTCCTTTATTTTGAAGCTGTATAAGTCTGTCGGTACTGTTCTTAGAGCAGCGTCCACACTGAGGGGTTAGATGCTGTTTTCAAAATAATAACAAACAATAATAAAGTTATAACGAAGTTAATCCATCTCCTGATGCCACACAGCTTAAATATTTTACTGGAATAAGGATCATATATTTATTAGAAAGCTGAAGTTTACTGACAGTATCTGTACTTGTTGATAATTTTTTGGTTTCTGCTTAATGATTTTATGCTAACATGTCGTTACCTTAACCTGCTACAAGACAATTTCCAGTTAATCAAAGTTGTGAGTGGGACAAACAGCGGTTATGATTATTAGCATTATTATCAATATTTGTGAGTGTTGTCCATTTACTAAAGATACAGTTGGAAGAGAAGCTTTACTGCTAAACATACGTACATGCGTACGAACGGTACTTAAACGCACCATGAATTCCCCGTTTGCGTCCACACGCGGAGCCGTAAATACGAATGTAAACGCGCAAAGATTTTTAACGCGCCGCTATCGTGACCGCGCTTCTTTTCTCTGATCATATCTGTACACATGTCACCAACGCGCGAGGCTCAGAGCAGATTACATGCACACACTGCTCTCTGTGTAACACGCACACACACACACAGCTGCTCTTGGTGATTTATGTTATGTCCTGTGGGCGCCATGTTTGGGCGGAACTCGCAGTGTGAGCCACTGCTGTGGCAGGAAGCTGATGGAGTTGCGCTTCATCAAACATCTGGAGCTGCTGGTGTGTGTGTGTCTGCGTTGCACATCTGTTTGACGTGCTGACCTCAGCAGCTCCTCCCCTCTGTGCAGTTTACTGTGACAGGAGGAGGGTGGAGCTGCAGCTGCCAGCAGGTGTGGAGCTTCTGTTCACAGCGTGCAGAACATCAGCTGTGCTCCAGATGTTCCAGCAGACAGAACATCTGCAGGTGTAACAGATGTGGGTGCACAGTTTACTAACTGCGTCTGCACAGAGACACAAACAGATTGCCATCAGTGCACACGGTTTGTCCCGCACACACACAGGAAGTCTTTATCAACCATGTCGTGTTTGTGGCTCAGACGTGTTCAGTCTCTCTGATAAACTCCTGACATCTCCTCCTCTCAGCCCACGCTCAGCTGCAGGTAACTGTTCACCTGCTCACGCTGTCAGGTTACCATGGAAACCACACTGATTAAACTTGTGTTTGTGTCCTCAGCGTCCCAGCATGCATCAGGGGTGGAGGTGTTTGAGGGGGAGGAGTCTGTCCTGCTGCCCTGTAACATGGTTGTTCCTAAGGATCATGCGATTGTGTGGAAACGCGAAGATCTGTCTTCTCAGATCGTTCACGCCATCGTGGAGGGAAAAGATGACATTACCAACCAAAACGAGCGTTACTCCAGCCGAACATCAATGTCCGCCGACGCCCTGCAGACCGGAGACCTCATCAACCAAAACACGCGCTACTCCAACCGAACATCAATGTCCGCCGACACCCTGCAGACCAGAGACCTCAGCCTCACTCTGAGGAAGCCCACGTTCACCGACAGTGGGACCTACGCCTGTGTCACCCGCAAACATGGAGCGGACCAGCAGAGGACTGAAGTCCAGCTGAAGGTCAAAGGTCAGTGCTGCAGGTTCAGGTCAAAGGTCACACTGAATCATATCACACGCATTCAGAAAGTTCAGCAACATGAAATATTTCACGTATGTGAACACGTTCAGTTACACAGAAGAGGCTTACGCAGGTTTGTGTTTCCATGGAAACCTTAACGAGTATGTCATCGCTGACATCAGCATCCGCCTGTAACACAAGGTGGATGCTGATGAACAGTCTCTGTGACCTCATTAGTCACAGAGCTTCAGACCCTCACTCCAGCTGTGGATCTGACCCTGATGAGGTCAAAGGTCAGGTCCAGAAAGGATGGAGTCACAGACAGAGGACGTCTGTGCTGCTTCAACCATCAGCAGCACAGACGCTGGTCACTGACTGGTTAAACAGGTCTGTGTGGTTCAGCAGCGCTCAGCTAGAAGGTCAAATGGGAGAACATGATCAGAGGTCAGAGGTCGTACAGGATGATGTTCTGCTTCTTTGTGTTCCTTACAGAACGTCCTGTCTGGCCCAAAGTCCTCCCCGCTGTCCTGGTTCCTGTGGTTCTCCTCGGTGCTGTCGTTGTTTTCCTCCTGTATCGCGTGACACAAAGAGAGAAGCTCATGACAGGTGAGGCTGTGTGTGACTGCAACTAGTCTGTGACCTTTGACCTCCACACGCACCTGTCGGCTCCTGTACGTCCAATCAGCCTGAATGACATCATCAACCAGTAGCTGATTGGCTGTTAGGTGGTGAGGTGGAGGTGATGCGGTAGCCAGGTCCAACCAACAGCAGCGTTAGTATGCATGAGCTACTGTTTCCATGGACACAACCCCTGATGTTTCAAAATAAAAGCACAGTCAGAGTAAAACCAAAGCTGCGTTATTGTTAAATTATTATAAGTTATTCATTGTTATCAGATTACAAACTGAAGTCATTCGTCAGTTTATTACTATTATGATATGAAATTAATGACTGATGACATGATGGTGAGCTGAGGTGTTGCCATGGTAACAGGCTGTTCATGTGATGGTCACGGGTGGAGAAGCAGCTGGTTAAACCTGTTGCCCGTGCTGTGGTTCAGTCTGTCCCTGTGCTCTGCCCACAGTGGGTCAGCTGACACCACTGGAGGTGATGGAGGGGGCGCCGTCTGTCCTGCTGCCCTACACACACACATGCTGCCTGGGTGAGGTCGTCAAAGTGGAGTGGTTCTTTGTGACGCATGAAAACAAGAAGGTGTGCGTGTTTGAGAACGGTCAGATCAAACGTGACCAACAGCACACAGATTACAGAGAGCGCGCAGAGATGGAGTCATTCCCACCCAAGGAGACGAAGACCGACCAGCTGAATCGGCCTGAAGTTGACCTCAGCCTGACCCTGAGGAACCCCGTCTGTGCAGATGGAGGAGTTTACCTCTGCATCCTCCACGACAGGGCTGTGAACACCATGAAACTCAAGCTAGTGCCGCTCCTGGTCAAAGGTCAGTGAGAGAGTGAGCTGGCAGCAGCTGCTGATGTCAGCTCCTGCATGAAGTTTCGTACTGAAACCTTTTACTGTGAGAGTGCTGACTGCAGGGATCATCTTTAACATGCTTCTGCACACACGTGTGAGCCCAGAGGCATGCTGGGTAACTGTCATCCAGCAGGGAGAGACACCTCTGACCCACCATCACATGACAACATGACCCTCAGTCTGAGGCTTCGTTAGCCTAACTGCTGTGTTTCTCTTCTGCAGAGCCCCTGATGACGACCATTAAAGCTGCAGTCGGGAGACGCAACAAGGCGGCCCAGCGCTTGCCTTCATTTCGTGTGTCTAAAGGGTGAGTCCACGTTTGGCCCCATGTGATTCATCTGTTTGATGACACTTTGGCCTGAATAACTGATTCGGCCTCTGTGAGTAAGGGGGTGCTTCTGTAAGTGAGTAAGGGGGGGTGCTACAGAACAAACACAGTGTATATGTTGGTGGCATTATAGTGTAAATACAGATATGATGTATAAATGAGGTGTGATGTCCATGAGTGTTGGCAGCAGAGTTATCCTCCAATCAGGCTGCAGGGTGGACAGCCTGAGGGTAAAAGCTTCTGTTGAGTCTGTTTGTCTTCGTCCTGATGGACCTGCAGTGTTTATCAGAGGGAAGGGGGGGCGGGGTCTCTGAGGGGGGGGTCAGTGAGGTGCCGATTGGCCGCTCTGCTGCCCTCACCTGCAGCTTCCTCTTGTCCTCCACGGTGCAGCAGTTGAAGCAGAGTGTGCAGCAGGAGGTCAGAAGGCTCTTCATGGTGGAGCTCTGGGGTAACTGGGCCTGACGCCGTTTCCTGAGGAAGTGCAGCCTTTGTTGTGCTTTCCCTACCTGGTGGGAGATGTTTGTGGACCAGGTGAGGTCGGCCGAGATGTGGACTCCGAGGAACTTGAAGCTCTCCACCCTTTCTACCTCCTCCATCAATGTAGAGGGTGGAGTGCTCAGATCCTTTGTTCTGCTGAAGTGCATTATCATGTCCTTGGTCTCGGCTGTGTTCAGATGCAGGTTGTTGTCGTCGCACCATCGCTTCAGATGCTGAATCATTGCTGTTGTCCATCAGTCCTGTGATGGTGGTGTCATCAGCACATTTATAATGGTGTTACTGGTGTGGACTGGAGAACAATCTCCTGAGTCCCAAGTTGCTGAGTTTATTAACTGTACTGAAGGCTGAGCTGAAGTCAGCAAACAGTTGTGCAGGTGTGTGAGGATTACGTTGGCGTTTGTGTGACATGATCTAAGTCTGCCAGTATAAATGATGAGGCTCAAAACATGTGGTGATTATGTTGTTAGAGCAACTGGACGATTCAAGCAGCTCCCTGTGTTCTTCTGGGCACTGCAACGATGGCGGCTGACTTAAAGCAGGACGTCCTACAGACTGCAGCATGACTGTGTCGCACACATCACACCATGGACACACCTTACCGCCGGCTTCCCGTGGCTACAGGTGGCCTCTTCATGCTGAACCTTACACTAGCTTCTCTAAACACATATACATAAAGTAGGGAGGGACCGAGCCGGTGCTACGTATCAGTATCGGTCCAATCCTGACCTAAATCACTGGATCACATATTGGGGGAAAAAACGTAACAGGATCCATTAAATATAGTGACCTTTGCATGTCGGAGCAGTGTGCGTCACGTGATGGAGCGGCTGTTGTGTGCGAGACCTGTCGGTGGTCTGGAGTTCGCAGCATCTGGAGCCTCGCTATGTGCTGCCAAACCAGGTGTTGTGCCGAGGTAGGCGTCCCCGACAAACTGCGTCGTGAGCGTTCACTAGGCATGGAGTGCGGATCCAGTTTGCTCCGCCTCCATTACAGACAGCTAGACGTGGACCTTGTGATGCTTTAGTTTGAAAAGAAAGAGTTTAGACAGTTTGTAACTCGCAGTGATGCCACAGTGTTCCTTTGAAAGCTGAAGCAGCTCATGACGTCAGACTTAACGACCAGATAGGAACTGACTCACTGCTGCCTCTGCTGGACACCAGAGGACCTGCAGGTGCAGTTTGGACTCAGAGTCCAGAGCTCAGTCTGTGTCTGTCTGTCCACAGAAAGAAGAACGTTGCAGAATCTCATCCACTGAACAGTCAGCCAGTCTGATGCGATGAAGCTGGAGATGATGAAGAGGAGGCTGCCGTCAGCTCGTCCTTCTCCATGGATGTGAAACAGGAAGCTCAGTGTAACAGCTGAAGCTGTCTCTCATGTATGAACTAACGATGGAGCGTTGTCCTCTCAGTTTCTTCTTCTTCTGTCTGCTGCAGACTCTGCATTGATCACATGACCCACCCGCTGTTTTACTTTTACCTGTGTCTGCATGTTAGTGGATCAGCATCATGCATGTTCATGCGGCCCTCTGTGATCTTCACACTGAGCATCATCATCATCCCACTGTCAGAGAGGACCAATCAGAGCTCAGCTCCTGGCTGTGTCTGCAGACTGACCTCAGATCAGCACAAAGCTGTGTAACACGTCCTCAGAGGTCAGCTGGATCTGCTCAGTGTGACGCTCTCTGTCAATGGAAAATTGTACTTAGTAGTCAGTATAATCTTTTAGTGATATAAGTTTGCATATGGTAGAATACTGCATGTAATCATTTGTGTGTAGAAGTATATAGTTGGTGGGATATTGAAGGAATGTCTCATCCTAGGAGGTCTGTAACATTCCAGGGTGTTCACCCCACATCCTGGGAGCATGAGAGCTCGTACCTGCTCTTATTGTTTTACGGTAGGATTAACGTAGCTATGTCAGTTCTAGTCTAAGTGCCTTTTGGTTTGATGAACTGCTGGACTTTGAGACCAGCAGGTTTAGGGAAGATTTTATGGGGTCACACTCTGACCCCACACACACACACACATACACGTTTTTCCAGTCACGTGGGGACCTTCATGTAGGAGATTACGCGTGGGGACACATTTCTAAATGTAATAGAGGTATTATTAAGGCATAATTTGAACTCTTAATTTTTTTAGGGATCAAACATCTATTTTGGTAACGCAATTTGTTAAATTTAAAAAATCCAATTTTTGTCAGGTTTTTCTACCTGGTGGGGACACAGCTTTTATGTCTTTTCACAAACCACCACCAGGTGACACTGTTGCATGTTTACAGTTAGAGGGTGTATTTATAGGAAGTGCTGGTTGGATTTCAGACAATGGTTTCTGCTACAATTTTCATTTATTGAGTTTTATATTGTTTTTGTTATTTTGTCATTACCCCTTGTATTTGTTCACTGGACAATTTGTGCACTGGCCTCTGCTTTCAATAAAAAAAATGTTTCAACTGAAGAGCATAGCTTTCCAACTTTTCTTTTATATATACAGTATAAAAAAAAGAACTCTCCCTGCTCAAAGTTAACCTGAACAGCAAAGAAAACAATCTTTTCAATACTAATGTATCATTGCTGTCATGGCTGTGTGTAGACGGGCAGGAAATGGTGGACCCAAAATGCAGACTCGCGGAGACGAAAGTGAGCTGAAAAAGCAGCTTTATTGCTGGACACAAACTAACTTAACCTGAGAATACAAACTGAGGAAACACGGGCAGAAACACAGCAAGGAGAGGGTACGACGCGACACGGAACTGAGGGAGACGCCGACATAAATACACAGGGGAATACCAAGGAGCGTCAGAACACACGAGGAACACAGCTGATACAAATCACAAAGACGAGGGCAAAGCAAAACACATCCACATGAGGCACAGAACTTCAAAGTAAATAATAACAAAGAACACTGGGTCCCCGACCCAGCACTGTAACAATTGCCTGGTTGAAATGAACAATCTTTTTTTTCTCTAAACATGAGAAAACTTTAACGGTAACTGAAGCTGTTTATGTTCCATTTGTTTGACATTAGCTTCTTACCTTCTTTTCACTGACTCTCGCTTTAAAGCATCAATTCGGTTTTTCACGTAAAACTTAACTCCCTCCCAACGTCTCTCTTTCAATGCTAATGGTGAAGTCTCAATACAATTGAGACACTCTGCCTTCCCAGGAACCTTTCCAGAGCTGATGTACTCCATTAGAGTCTTCTCCACAGCCTTTATTTCTGCTTCAGTCCACTTCCTTCTTGTGGTTTGTGATGCCCCTGAATAAAGTAGACAGTAACCGTGTTATTCAAAAAGAAGAACAAGTTGGTGTGTAATCACACGACTCCCCTTATGACCAGATGTGATACTTTGAGTATGTCGACAAGTATATCAAAAGCTATAGGTACATTTGGACTATACTTTGTACTTGTTGGTATTCCTCAAGTATAAGTACAAGAAAAGCCCATAATGCATTGTTTACAGTTAAATCGCTGCAAACTATGAAAGAATTAATTGATTGATTGTCAAACATTAGTATTTATGTATGTATTATTACCATTATGCATTTATTTATATATACATGTCTTTTATCAATTAAAAGTACTGACTGTTGGTTGAGGTGTATATTTTAATCTATAATGCATTCAACAGAAAGAGTACTGTGTGGGGGAGCTGAGCTCTGCCTTTAGCCAAAAAGAACACAAGAGAGGCTGCTGCACAAACACCACAACTGTATTTTCAGATACACTGATCTCGCTCACTGCTCTTTTGAAGTGCTAATAAAGTTCATTACAACTCAAGTTGTAATAAACTATGGCCTTAAACTTTCCAGGCTACACAGGACACAGTTTGTGTGGCAGACAATCTCAGTGTTATAGGTCTGGTTACTCTTGCAGTCTTACTATACTTTGAAGATTTCCCTGACAGGACATGTTAGCTAAGCTAATAGACTCCAGCAGTGCACTACCAATAAACCTAGCAGGCTCTCTAATCACCTGTGACCTGCTGAATGCTAAATGCCTAATGTCAAACCTGCTTTAAGCCGCTGTCTATGTTACTGGATAAAATAGCGGCAGCTTTTCCAGTAGGATGCAGACCGTCCGCTTTCAGCAGGTCAGGGCGGCCCCAGAAAAAAGCCCAGTTATCCACAAACTGAAATCCCAGCTTCCTTCAATTCCTGGTCAGCCAGCGGTTCAGTGACATAATTCTGCTATACATCTCATTACAAGGGACCAGAGATATTAAAGTTCTTTGGATATCTAAAGTAAACAAATTTTTTTAACTACTTACATTTTTTAAAGGAGGTGATAAAAGCTTCACCTCTGACATTACCTCTGTTAAATTATAATATTATTTTATGCCATGTTATACCCCTAAGCAGCAGATGACGCAGCAGGTGACGCAGATGTGTTTGTGTCTTGTGCATCAAGTAAAGAGGATTCTTTAGCATTTGAATTTGAGGAATTGCATTGAGTTCGAGTACACCTTCTCTTCAGTTGTCGGACATCTTCCTGAGAGTTACCTGAAGTAGTTTTCCGTGCTTTTTTCTTCTTTCTTTTGTGTTGTATGAGACTTTCTGCAGAACTGTCACTTTCTTCAGCAGTTTGAGGACCATATTCTTCCTCACTGATGTCAGTACTTGATATAGATGGACATCCAAGCATTTGTCTGGTAAACTAAAAAGATAAAAGAAAGAAAGAAAGAAAATGGTTAAATCTTTCCACTCACACAAGCATTTAAAAAGACTAAAGGTAGTACATTAGTAGTTGTAACAGCTGTACTGTATTGACAGTTGTATTAATACCATTTACGGTACCACACATGTCACCACTTAATTTGAACTAGTCATATTAAGTAATCTTTCCTCTGCTGCATCACATTTGCCAAACAACCCTGGGTGGCTTTGTCTGGATATGCTGTCATTACCCAAAGACTGTCAATACAGCTGTGATGTCACACTCATTAACAGTCACTTAGGTTAGTTTTAAACATCTGGGACAATGTAATCTCTAAGCTAACACTGTTTCTAGGAAATTTCTGAACTTCATTTTCTTTTTGTATATATATACACTAATGTTTATAGAAATTGATTTTCTTTATTTAAATATATGATATAATTTTTACCTGGATCAATTACCTTTGAAGAACATTTTTTATGTTTTTAAGGTAGAATAGTATCTACTCAAGTATCAACTGTGTTCCAGGTAAACTGAAGATTTTAGTAATGCATTGAATTTTAGGATTGTCAGGGGATGAGACTGACAAATGCTTAATTAATAGGCGACAAAAGCATGACAGTCATTTGTTGAGCTCCTTTTATCAAATTCAAAGAAATAAATTTTAGTCATAGCGTATAAATAAAATGGGCATTTTGGAACCACCTTACAAGAAATACTTAAAATGTGTCACAGATAAAATATACGTAGGCTTAAAAATGACATGTATCACCTTTTATGAGAACATACAGAATATAAAGTTGATCACAAAAGTCATTACGTACTTTAAGCTATTCCTTAAAATCTTTTATTGCTAACTAAATGCAATCATACATTACTACCTATGCAAATGCAATGCTAATTGAATTTAAGCAACTGTTATTACTGTAACACCTTGAAAACCTTTGTGAACTTGAAGGAAATGAATGACAGTCTTACGACCAACGTTCCCTCTACGCTGTGCATGTGCGCAATCGCGCGCTGCTGGCACGTCTCTGCGCACAAATATATATATATATAGAACCTGAATTGAAATTAAAATTAAAACTTCAACAATTCAGTTTTGCAGTGTGAGTCAGTGACTGGCTGCTCTCGTATGTGTTTAGAACGATGCCACCTCATCCCACAGTCCAGCCAATGATGCGATTCGTATATACGCAGCCAATCAACGTGGTTGATGACAGCGTCCTTATGTGGCGACGCCGGTGTTTTAGCAAAGCGGCTGATGTGGAGTGAAGCCCCTCTGTGGGTCTTCCTTGGTCTCTTGTGTTCTGGGGGCCTCTGGATGTCTGGAGTTTTGATCTCCTCCATACCTGCTTGATACCATAAAGGACAGGGCTGTGGCCCCCCCACACTCCCTAGCAGATCGTTACATGGAGAAACCTTTGGAATGCAAGCATGCTGATCCACACAGGTATGCACACAGGTGTACACATGGGTATTCACAGACGCGGACTACAGCTTTCTTGGCTGCTGCCTCAAAGCACATTGTGCGCTGTCTATCTTGCGTGCTGCACAATATCGTTTATTATTTAGTAACTATTGATATCTATGACTAGCTAGTTTATTGTGATGGTGCTTTTTTTTTCAATCATTATGTTGCTCTTTGTTGTTTGCTGTCTCCTCTGTTTTTTTTTCTCCATACAGGTGACCCAGGAGTTTTTTTTTGTTGTTTGTTTTTTTTTCTCTCTTCCCCCCTTCTCACCGTCTCTTCTCCCCTTTGGTTTTCTTTCTCTCCCTCTCTTTCTTTCATTCTTTCCCCCTGTCCTATCCCACAGTTATGTCTGTCCCGTTTGCAACTGAAAATAAAATAAATTCATAATTATAATAAAGGTCAATCAAATGGACCAATATGGCAAGGCCATGATGATCCACTTGGTAAAATAAATCCGCTTGGCATCTTTCTTGGCCTTAAGACAACAATTCTGATGGCTATAGATCCAAACGGGACAAAAAAAAAGAACGAAAACAGAAAATCTCCTTTTTCAAAAATACCCGTGTACGTGTGGACGTAGCCTTAATTTCTTACTCTCAGCTGACATGAAAGAAACACCAGACCCCCACCGTGCCTGGTCCGGCACAGTGGGGGTCTGGTGTTTCTTTCATGTCAGCTGATGTTGTTCCAGCTGTGACGCTGAAAGCTGAGCTCCTGTCTCATTATGAGCGACAGCTTCATGTTTCATGGTTAAAGTAAAAGGATGAAGTCTGTCCCTGAGCCTGTGCGGACTGGATTTGTTCAATGTTAAAGTCATGATGCTGGATTTCACGGTGACGTCACCAAACCGTACCGTGAGGTGAGGTAAATCTTTGTGTAGGTCAAATGATAAATTCATGTCCTGTTCCAAATACATTGAAAATTGTATAGGATGCACAGCAGCAGTGACGCATGTAGCTCTGGGGACCATGTCTCGCAGAATGGGGACACTGTTAAATGTGCTCATCTTAGAAAAATTGAGTATCCCAAAGTCCCCCAGATCCAATAAGTAAAGTTATTAAGAAAGCCATTGTCCAAAACACACAATGATTGTTGATGCTGAATTAAATAGGCTGCACAAACCTAGGATGGCATGTAAGGCTCCAGCCAGAAGCTCAGGTCCTGGTGGCTTGCTAGCAGAGGGCTTCTGCTAGCACAGTGGCCAATGAGGTGTAGAGGGCTTCAATCAACAGCACGGCGCCCGATGTAATGCACCTGAGCTTTTTCTAGCAGCACAGGCCTTGGTGTGGTGCTGATGTCTTCCACTAGCAACACAGATAAAGTTGGTTCAGCCAGCAGCACAGGCCCCGGTGCAGTGAGATGGCTTCAGCAAACAGCACAGGCGCTGCTGAGGTTCAGTTGGTTTATGCTAGCAGCACAGGCCCTGGTGTGGTGCAGACAACTTCTGGTAGAAGCAGAGGTCCCAATAAATAGACCACTTTCCAAGAATTTAGAGAATGCTTTAAAATACTCTTAAAAAAGCTTCTTGGAAAAAACTGAAATCCATTTAAAATAGTAAAAAACAAAAAATACCCCAAAAATTCAAAGCAGAAATTCATCAAGGAGACATGCTGCTGCCATCTTGGTCAAAGCTGCCTTCTTGTCTACATCATTCTACAGGTTAAGGACATCAGAATGACATTCAGACCAGATAGGTGTGTCTGAATGGCTGCAAAGAGATTATTGCATCATTCAGACACATTTGGTTTTATTAAAAATGGCAAGTCCTTTTGAATACAGAAAGAACTAGTCAAAAGGTGCTGCCATGCAGCTACAGTGTGTATATATGGAGAAAACAGTGAAGATATGATTCACAGGACTCTGGAAGAACTTTAAGAGAAGAAGACTGGGAGGTTTTAAGGTTCTGAGTGTACAGATCAACAGATCCAGCTGCATGATGGGAAATGCTCTCTGCAGTACTGATGGACCTCTCCATGACCCCTGTGACCATCCAGGCTTTTCTCCCTCTGTCTGTCAGTGTTTTTAAACCAGTTAACTGTGTGAGTTTCACACTGCAGGAAAACAGATCAAACCAGTTTGTTGAAAGAACTCAACATTCTGGTTTTAGAGGTGGAGCCTGCTGTGCTCGACAGGACGTTTTGACACTCAGTGTGTCAGTGTTTGCCTGTGAGGTGATCCAGCTCAGGTGAAGTGAAGTCTTCAGCTGCACTCTGTGAACTCTTGGATCTGTGAGGAGAACCAGGACTCAGCGTCACTGCTGTAAGTCTCTGATCATTCAGCTTTCATTTGTCGTGGAAAGTGTTTCTGTTCAACAGGCAGCAAACATTTTCTCCTTGTTACTGCTCACTGACATCTCAGACTGCTCACTCTTTATCAGAACCACTGCAGCTGTCAGGCATCAAACGGGTTCTAACAGTTTTCATTTTTCCTTCACTTTGTGAGAGACAAGGAGAATATTAAACTTGTCTTTACTTATGCTCATCTAGCTGAGCTCCTCCCTCTGCTCACACTGACCTCTAGTGGTTATGTGAATATTAAAGAGTAGTGCTGGGACATGTAAAGTTGTAACAGGTGTGGATCTCTCTGCATAGGTTTGTAGCAGAGCTTCATAAGGTCAGCGTCAGTTACACAGAAACATGAATGTCTGATATTAAATGTCCTGTTATTGCTCTCACACAGTGACCTCTGGTCTTTGGCTGATGATGTCATGTGTATAAAACATATATGTTTACATGATGATCCAAATGTTTATGATGCAGTTAAAGCAGATCTTTTGTATTTTAACCCTACTTTCATTAATATTAATTTATTGTACCTATTGCTGCAGTTGTTAGTCAAAAACACTTTATAATACATGTTACTTTAATATAAGTAGTACAGGGTGGGCCATTTATATGGATACACCGTAATAACATGGGAATGGTTGGTGATATTAAAGTCCTGTTCAAGTTACTTTGAAACCAAGCACACCATTGTTGTTCTTGTGACATTACCAATAAGTCTGATGTGTCACATGGCCCTCTCCCTATTGAAAAAACAAAAGTTGTATCCAAGATGGCCGACTTCTAAATGGCCACCATGGTCACCACCCATCTTGAGGAGTTTGCCCCTCACATATACTAATGTGCCACAAACAGGACTTTAATATCACCAACCATTCCCATGTTGTTACGCTGTATCCATAGAAATGGCCCACCCTGTAGTTGGCATTGGATTACAAGATACGATGGGATGTTTTAATTTGATCTGTGTCACTTTATCTTGATGGTAATGTTTTTAGTAATTTTTACCTGATAGTAAATGTAAATTAAATTTGAATCAAGCTGCTACTATTGTTATTATTATTGTTATTTGTGTGTAATTATTTATAGTTCTGATTTGAATTATATTAATGCATTTTTTTGTTTTTGATCTTCTTGTTTTCTGCCTTCCCCATTGTTTCACTTACTTTCAGTTGATGTTTGTATGAGTTACTTGCTGTTGCTTAGGTACTAACCTTTGTTAAACTGTTAGGCTTCTTCCTGTGAGTGTTTCTGCCTGCTGTCTGTTTGTTGTGCCTTTTTTTTTATTGCCTTGTTTGGACATTCTGTTAATCGAGGTGTGTTTTTCTTTAAGATGTCTGCATTTGGGTTAAGATTTTCAATTTTATTTACCAATCTTTGACTCTGTCCTCAGCACATACCGCTTACTCTGTATTATTTAGAGTATGACTTATGACATGTTTGAATGGCTTGAAGCTTTCGTTTTGATGAAGCATGTACAGTGGCTTGCAAAAGTTTTCGGCCCCTTTGAACTTTCCCACATTTTGTCACATTACAGCCACTAACCTAATTGAATTCTATTGGAATTCCAGGTGAAAGACCAACACAAAGTGGTGCACACGTGAGAAGTGGAACGGAAATCATGCATGATTCTCCAAAATTTGAATCTGTTAATCTGGACGTAGCGTTTTGTGGGAGAAACATTTCGTCACTCATCCAGGTGACTTCAGTCTCAGCTGACTGCAGGTTTCCCCAAATCTTATAAACAGTACATTTGCATAATGACTGAAACCAACCCACTGAAGGAACAATGGGCTCGGATCAGACATGATTCCAAACATTTTTTTTTTTACAAATAAATAGCTGAAAAGTGGGGTATGCGTAATTATTCAGCCCCTTTGGTCTGAGTGCAGTCAGTTGCCCATAGACGTTGCCTGATGAGTGCTAATGACTAAATAGAGAGCACCTGTGTGTAATCTAATGTCAGTACAGTACAGGTCAGGGATAAAGTTACTGAGAAATTTAAAGCAGGCTTAGGCTACAAAAAGATTTCCCAAGCCTTGAACATCCCACGGAGCACTGTTCAAGCCATCATTCAGAAATGGAAGGAGTATGGCACAACTGTAAACCTACCAAGACAAGGCCGTCCTCCTAAACTCACAGACTGAACAAGGAGAGCGCTGATCAGAAATGCAGCCAAGAGGCCCATGGTGACTCTGGACGAGCTGCAGAGATCTACAGCTCAGGTGGGGGAATCTGTCCATAGGACAACTATTAGTCGTGCGCTGCACAAAGTTGGCACTTGAAAGTCCAGTTGGAAGAGCGAGGTGAGTAGCTTGAAGAAATCGATATCGATTCATTAAATCCTGAATCGACTTTTAAATATAACTGTGTTTTGCTAGAAATGCCAGATTCTCAGATTAAAGCTCACAAAACCATTTCAACAACAACCAAACAGCAGATGAGAGCAGGTACACGGACTCCACACAAAGAAGTAAACATGAACCGACGCATCAGGATCAGCTTTGTCTTTCTCGGCTTTCTCACCCGACGGCCCGCAGACGGACACGCTGTCGGAGCTCAGCGATCCTGATGCGTCCGGTCCGCGCTGTGTTCACGTCTTTTTGCGCTGATTCTGAGCTGCAGGTTTTGTCTCTCCAACCAAAATTCACCGAGCCAGCAGCAAAAGAAGCAGCAAACTGCGCTTCACATTTGATCGATGTCGTCATGAATTCCCTCTGACTTTTGCTGTTTTGCTTCCACCACGATAAAAATCACACTTCATGCACAGCTCTCTGTGTGTACTTCAGGAACAGTTTCAAATCTCTGTTTTCTGCATCATTCATTGGCTTATTACCCACCAGTCTACCGTTGTTTACAGCGCTGTCTTTTTCTTTTTTTCACTTAAATGACCTCGGACAAGAAAGCCTCATTTCTGCTGTTCAATACTGAAGAAATTTAAACTTCTTTAAATTATGCAAAATTGCAGATTATTGCAGAATATTTTAAGGTTATCTGCTATAAAAAGCCAGACCAGGAAAATCTCCTTCATGTTTTTCTGTTTTATTCTCAGTTACTTTCACACAAAGGCATCTGCTGTGATGTTCACAATTCTGATGAAGTCAGTACTGATAAATGATCAGAGTTATAATATTTCTGACTGTCTGAGGCTAAGTTGAATCGAATCAGGACTTTGAAAACCGGAATCGAAAGGATTATAGAAATCAGTGATGATACCCAGCCCTAGTGAGCAGCCTAGGCACGACAGAAGTGGATGTAGCTGTAATAGGAAAAGAACTATTGCTAACTTTTCTGTTAAGTTAAGGCCTGATCCTTCTGAAATTCATAGCCAGCTCTGACACAGTGCCATCAATCTTTGAATGCTGCAGTAAATGCACTGCCCAAGTGTCCCCTCTCCCCACTGCCTTTCAGCAGCAGGCAGCAGCAAACAGGTCGTCAGAGGAGCCAAGATGATGATTAAGTTGAACATTTTCTACAATATTGAAAAAGCACTTTAAGCACAAGTTTGTTAGTTAATCATTTAGAAATGAATATTGTCTGTATGGACTGCAACTCCCCCCCAAAAAGTGCACATGTAAAACTGTGGTGTTAAGTAATGCGGTTGAAAAATTTGAGTGCTTTTTAACTTTTTAAAGTTAGGCGTACCAGTGCGCCCATGGCAAAAAGTTAGTCTAGAGCCCTGCCTTTATGGAAGAGTGGCAAGAAGAAAGCCGTTGTTAACAGAAAACCATAAGAAGTCCCGTTTGCAGTTTGCCACAAGCCATGTGGGGGACACAGCAAACATGTGGAAGAAGCTGCTCTGCTCAGATGAGACCAACATGGAACCTTTTGGCCAAAATGCAAAACGCTTTGTGTGGCAGAAAACACTGCACATCACTCTGAACACACCATCCCCACTGTCAGATATGGTGGTGGCAGCATCATGCTCTGGGGGGGCTTCTCTTCAGCAGGGACAGGGAAGCTGGTCACAGTTGAGACTTGAGACTGGGGCGGAGGTTCACCTTCCAGCAGGACAACGACCCTGAACATAAAGCCAGGGCAACGATGGGATGGTTTAAAACCAAACATATCCATGTGTTAGAACGGCCCAGTCAAAGTCCAGATCTAAATCCAATCCAGAATCTGTGGCAAGATCTGAAACTGCTGTTCACAAAAGCTGCCCATCTAATCTGACTGAGCTGGAGCTGTTTCAAAGAAGAATGGGCAAAGATTTCAGTCTGTAGATGTGCAAAGCTGGTAGAGACAAACCCTAAAAGACTGGCAGCTGGAACTGCAGCAAAAGCTGGTTCTACAAAGTATTGACTCAGGGGCTGAATAATTACGCACACCCCACTTTGCAGTTATTTATTTGTAACAAATGTTTGGAATCATGTATGATTTTCATTCCACTTCTCACGTGTTCACCACTTTGTGTTGGTCTTTCACGTGGAATTCCACTAAAACTGATTCATGTTTGTGTAATGTGACAAAATGTGGGAAAGTTCAAGGGGGCCGAATACTTTTGCATCCACTGTAGTTAGGGCTGGAATATATTTCATGTGATATGAAATGAATTGCTATCTGTTTGTTAAGAATCTGCTTGTTTTTTGTTGTGGTGTTGGATTGAGTGAAACACAGGATTAATAAAGCTAAGGCTTATGCTAATGGGGATTCTGATTAAACAAACACACTGGCTTCTTAAACTTTAAAACTCTCTGACTCTGATCTTTCCAGTTTCTTCAGATTTGTACTCTTGTGTTGTTACAGAGCAAAGATGAAGGAAGGTCTGCAGACCGAGCTTCTAGAAACACTTGGGAATTTGAGCGATAAGGAACTGAAGCTCTTTAAGTGGTATCTACAGAAATCTGAGGCACTGGATGGTTCACCAGCCATCCCAAAGAGTGATCTTCAGACAGCTGATAAACTGGAAATAGTGAATTTGATGATCAATAAATACAAACCTGAAAATGCTTTGGGAGTCGCACAAAAGATTTTGGACAAAGTCAAGACTCGTACAAGTCAGTCAAAGAAATAACATGAAACACTTGGTGTGGTGTACAGATAACATGAGAAATGATTTTCATGAAGTATATTTATAAACTGAATCTCTATTCTATTCTTTTTACACCTTGCTGTTGTGTCTCTATAAAATTTAGCATATCTTGTATCACACACACACACACACACACACACAGATAAATAAAAATCATGCATGAATCATGAAAAATGAAAACACTTACAAAGACCTGTTCATGATTTCTAATTTCCTCCAACAGATAAACCTTCACACGCTGTGGAGAAACAAGAAAAACCAGTCCATACAGTTTCATCAGAAGGTAAGAGTTTAACAGTCTGAAGTAATGTCACTAAAAGCATTTGATTAATTTCTTCTTATGCTGTTTTTATAGTTTTATTGTTTTACATTGTTTTATTTACTGTTATATTGTTTTTATATTCCCATTTTCTGTGTTGTAAAGCACTTTGTGATTTTTATCTGTGAAAAGCGCTATATAAATAAATTTTACTTATTTACTTACTTACTTACTAAGGTCTCAACACATGAAAGTGACCAATCAGAGCTCTTGTTTCAAACTGGTATTTCTCTGGCTGCTGTAGTATTAGGCTACGTTCACACTGCATGTGAAAGCGCATCAAATCCGATTTTTTTTTTTACCCTATGCGACCCATATCCGATCATGGTGTGACAGTGTGAACGGCACAAATCCAATCTGGGTCACTTTCGTATGTGGTTCTGAATCCGATACATATCCGATGTTTCAGAAAGCGACTGCTGTTTGATGGTCATTTCGCATTAAATCCGTCTTTTACGTCACTGACACACGACAGACGCCAATTATCAGCGCCCGAGAAGACATCGTGAACACTTCCTGGCCATCCAGTGTAGATGTCAGTGAAACTGCTGGGAAGACAACGTTGGAGAGATGTGAACATTTTATTTGTACTGTATAACCTGCAGATTCTGACAGAAATCTGCAACTATCCTTTGAAGCACCGCTCCTCTGAAACAGCAATAAGGATCATTATTAGGTTATTTACATTATTATGTAAATAACAAAATAACTTAAAGCAAAATTGGGAAACATGAAGTCCGAAGTCTTTATATTAAGGCCATCAGTCAAACAATACTGTTGCTCTGGGTCTAAACAGAGCGCGTTGTGTGTGACGTCTTCTTTTGAGCATGCGGCCGCTTTGAGCGTTCACACTAGAGCGCGTTTGCTGTTGCATTTTATTTGTAGTGTGAACAAGCAGACAAAAAAATCGTATTTGATAAAAAAATCCAAATTGAGCACTAACGGTGTGTTCACACCGAACGCGATAGAGGCAGGCGGAGCGTCAGGCTTACATGTAAAGTCAATGGAAAGGTGCGCTGACCCGCGATTGCGGCTCCCGCGAAAATTCGGAAGCAGATTTGCGTCGCGAAAACGCGAAAACGCGCGTGAGTGTAGGGCGTTTCAGGCGTTTGACTCGCGAAAAAAACCACGCGCGTGAGTTTATGTGTTGCATTTTGTGCACACACGCGTTTCGCGTCCCCCGCTCGAGTTGGAAAAATCTGAACTCCAGCATCAAATCGCGCCGCAACAACCAATCAGGAGCCTGGTGACGTGGCTGTTACCTAGTTCAAAGGGGCAGATCCAGCCAAAGCCCTTTATTCTTCAATAGAAGGAAGGCTAATCAATGCCGTAGCAAACAACCCGGAACCGTACGACACCAGCTGCTTTCTGGACCGAGACAGGAATAAAAAGGACCGAGCTTGGAGGAAGATATGTAAAGAGATCGGGCAACCTGGTAAGTTCATTCATTTCTCTTAAGTTTTCTCTAAAGTTTTCACTGACCCGGGGAAGCCGCACAAAAGCTAGCAAGCCACCGCTATTTTCCCACTGATGTACAAATACCGTTCTGCTTTTAGGCATGTTGTCATTTAGGAATATATTTATTGTTTATTAATAAACAGCACACAGTGGTCCCGCTGTTCATCCGTCACTGCCTCTTTTTTTTAATTTTCTTTTTCTTTTTCTGCACCGTACATCATTGCATTCTGCAGCCTGATTGACAAATCTCCTCTGTGTCGTGTCTCCTGCGCTTGCCAAATTTATCATGTTTGGGTTTGATAACCATCACGTCCAATAGAAAACAGCACAAAAACACCCATAACTATGAGCCTCATTCGGAAATAGACATCTGCACCGCGAGGGAAAAAGGCGCACGAAAGTGGCGGGCAGATGAAGACAAACCGCGGCATAATAATACTTTTACGTTTTGCAATCTACAAAGGTTTGCACTTTGAGAATCAATTGTGAGAACTGTGACCAATGTTCATGTGTGTGTGGAAAAAAGTGTATAAAGTGCGTGGCCAGGGGCTAGTTATTCTGAGAACCCCTGATTATATCCTGTTTTTTTGTTTTTTTTTTCAATGTTGAAATTAAAATCTAGTAGCAGCCTTCTCATTTCTTTGTGTTTTGTGCTGTTTTACAGGCCCACAGGGGAGGACGGCTCTGAGGCAGATGAGGGACGGGTCCCAGGACGGTCCATCGGTGGTGGAGCTGGCCATCCTGGAGTCCCTGAAGAGTCCACACCAGTCTCCAATGGAGTATTTCCTCCTCAGCCTTGTTCCTGCTCTGGAGAGCAGCTGGTCCTTTTTATTCCTGTCTCTCTGTAAATTCTTATATTTTATATATTTATGTTTAATGTTTTTCTGTTTGAGACTTTTAATATTATTTCAAATAAATTTTTATAATGACTAATGTCTCAGTTCTACTACACAGCAAATGTTGGCACACGACTTGACACATGTAGAATTTATTTCATATTATACTAATGACAAAATATACTGATACAGTGGGATGCAGAAGTTTGGGCAACCTTATTAATAGACATTATTTTCCTGTATAAATCGTTGGTTGTTACAATAAAAAGTGTCAGTTAAATATGTCATACAGGAGACACACACAGTGATATTTGAGAAGTGAAAAGAAGTTTACTGGATTTACAGAAAGTGTGCAATAATTGTTTAAACAAAATCAAGCAGGTGCATAAATTTGGACACCACAAAAAAGAAATGAAATAAATATTTAGTGTATATCAATGTGTGCGTCTCCTATATGATATATGTGCTGCACAGCACAGAGGGAAGTTCCAGCGCTCCTGGAATCCCTCTGGGATGGACCGCCAGTCTCCAGGTGAAGGCACAGCCATGAAGTCGTCCACTAGACAGTAGGGCTGCCACAAACGATTATTTTGATAGTCGACTAGTCACCGATTATTTTTGCGATTAGTCGACTAATCAGATCATCATCCATTGGACGTAAAACACAGCAGCATCTGCTCTCATATAACCATCATTAGCTTACAGCTTGAAGTGTTTCAGGTCTGTGCTAACTAACAATAAAGACATGATGATAGTTTATTACACTTTTAATGAAATTTGCAGATTGTTTGGGTGGAGTTTAATAAACTCCTTGCTATCTAAAATATAACAGGACACTGGAGTAAATTCTGGAGCATCTCACACTTCTGATAATCAGCTGTCTGCTTGACATTTATTCAGCTGTGTAAAAACTTTAATCTCAGCCAAACCGATTTACTCAGGAACAAATAAAATACTAAAGAAAGCCAAACAATAACATTTTAAGTTATCTAAGTGACTCATATATATTTAACCTGAGTAGTGAAAGACAGCGGTGGGTTTGAAAACGATTTGCCGGGAGTCCGGTGTTCTCACGCTCTAGTGATCCTTGCCCCCGGCTCGCTATCGAGCTAGTGGGTAACAGACGTCTCCGAAAACGTCGGAGTGCTTTTGAAAATATGCGGTGTCCTGATAAACTGAGCAGATATTTGAGGTTTACACAGCTACATTCTCGCCTGAAAATATGTTAAACGTTTATTTTGTGACCCAGAAAGAATAATAAGAGTAATATTAAAACTAACTAGCTGCCGCCATTGTTGGAAACTGAGCTGGGCCGCGCTATGAATTCTGGGACACAGCTGCTGCTTCTTCTTCTTCTTCTTCGGGGTTTAACGGCAGCTGACACATTTCCAGTTCACGCGCGTTAAAATATGATATTTTGGGGCGCGAGGGATTTTTCTTGGACACGCGTAGAGGTTGCGAATGTGCAGGCGTCAAGTTAGGGGCGTTTGGGGATTTTTTCACGCGCCCATCGCGTTCGGTGTGAAAACACGGTTAGACCTGCAGAGTGAACGTAGCCTTAGTGTAGGCAGTTACATAGTCGATTTAAATGTGAAGCAAACCCCTAAAATTTAACATAGGCAGTTTACAGAAAATCTGCTTAAGATTTAAACACGAAAACACATCAAAATCAACCTTTCTGCTTCAGTAATGAATTGTGCAAAATAATATTTATTAATAAATTAATTTACTAATGATTTTTTTTATTATTTTATTCATTCAGACAGTAGTAGAGTAATTCATTATATGATCATTCAATGTAAAATTAAAAAAGAATAATTATAAAGCAACTATTTATCCATCCATATTATCAATTATTTATCCATCAATGACTACTTCAAATCAAAAATTGATTTTAAAAGAAATATCATTTCGAAAGTCACTTTTAAAATCCACAATAAATTCTCTGCTCCCCCTTCCGGGCAGTCTATCCTTCAAGCTCACGTCTTCTACCAGAGTCCTGGGAGCTTGAGGGTCCTGCACAGCATCTTAGCTGTTCCTTGGACTGTGCTCTTCTGGACAGATTTTTTCAAATTAATTCAATTTTATTTATATAGCACCAAATGTATTATAGATACTGTTACGACCCGTCTAGGGCCAGGCCATAACATGAACGAGGCACTCGCTTCCCCCCAAGACCCAAGCAGTCACACGAAACAAATCCGTTAGATATGAGGTGATTTATTTACAATGTGAATAAAGAGAACCAAAACGGGAGTGTCAACACTTCAGGGTGAGCCAAGGCCAAAACAATAAACAAAACAAACCTACACAGATCCCGCACCCCTGACCTTACCAAAACAAAGTCAAAAATAAAGACAGAGTCTGACCTCCTTAACTAACTCAAAACAGGAGAAAATGGGTGATCAAAAGAAACGGCAGCTCACCCCTACCCACTCCACTTCCACAACTTTCAAACGTACTGCAGCCAGCGGCTACCACAGGACTACTGCTGGGTGATGAGGAGAAACGCGAGGACCTCCCTCGCTGTAGCACTCAAGCCTCCTTTTAATGGGCGGGTCCTCCAGCTGGATCCAATCACGCCGGGGCAGTATATCCACGCACCAATCGGAACAGGGCCCTGGCACAGCTAAATTAACATAGAAAAAACACAACACCTGCACAAACAAA